TTAGGTGTATGTGGCTGGTGCCTTAGCTGCTTGAGCCACAGGAGCCGAGCCTTTTGTGATGATATTTAGCTGACACATTTAAAAGCCCTTGGACCAGGATCTGGCACAGAGGAAGCACTCAGTACGTTCGTTCATTCACCAAATGTTTTATTGAAATCTTGATGTAGGCCAGGAACCATCTTTGGGGCTGGGGATGCAACAGAGAACAAAGCAGCTATTATCATTCCCAGAGTCACAAATTAGTTCAAACCAGGATTTGAATCCAAGTCTCACCACTTTCAAACCCCATATTGATGATTAAGCTGCAGCATCTCCTGTAGTCAAGGTGGCCCAAAGGAAGTTCATAAAAGAGTCCTGGCTGAGGGTTTCTTATTAGCAGAATGAACAGGAACCAACACCGGCTTGAGGAGGTTGGGCCATGGAGAGTGGTCCTACCTAATTGTTCTTCATAGTCTCCTGGACCCAGTCCACATATTTGCAGACTTTCGTATAGACACCAGGCTTTTTGGTGACAGCACATGGATCCTGGCCCCAGGAGATAATGCCTTGAAGAGACCCGTTACAGACCAGAGGGCCCCCGGAGTCGCCCTGAGCATGGAGAAAGAGAATATCAGTCAGAGAAAAGGATTGCGAGGAGGTGGGATTGGGGCTTGGAGTGAGACTGTGGATGCCCATAAAGATGTCATTGAGGCTGGTGATGGGGGTGGTGTGGCTGGAGACCTAGGCCCTGTCCTCTGACCTGGCAAGAATCTTTGCCCTCTTCCCGAACGCTGGCACACACCATGGTGTCAGTGATGTTGCCCGGGTAGGCATCCTCACACTCCTTGTGCTCAATGATGGAGATGTTGGCACATCGCAAGGAGTGGGGCAGGTGCACTGTGGAAAACAGTATGAAGGGTGGTGAGGAAGGACCCCTTGGCCTGTCTCCCCGCTGCAGCGCTTGCTGTGAAACAGCACCTGGGGGAATCTGTCCTCACTTGTGGCCAACTCATTTCTCTGCTTGTAAAAATAGCAACAGTAACAGTAAAGCTAAGGAATAAATTCTTTATGCTGGTTGCTTTAAATACATTGTTTCTAGTCCAGTCTGGGGAGGTGGGTGTGATTATTCTCATATTTTGGAGAAGAGAACCAAGGTTCAGAAAACAGCCAGTTGTCCTGGATCTGGAATTGCCCAGCACGTCTGTCTACATCCTCCTCGCCCCAACTCTTTTCACTCTTCCTTGCCACTGCCATATCCCACCACTGACATCCCAGGCAGCCTCCTGGTGTATCACTGTGAAGTCTCCCCAGTCCCCTGTGTCCTTCTGCTCTCATGACCATCCCCTCTCCCCCCTGCCCACCCCTGTTCCCCTCTAGGGCCCCTACATTGGGGGCTAGATGTGGTGCCCCAGCCAGAAATGAGGCAGCGGGTGCCAGCGGTGACACAGTGTGAGGACAGGGAGAGGGGTCGCACGGCCCAGGTGATGAGGGCTGGTGCCACCATTTTCACCAGCATGATGTCATGGCGATGGTCTTTGTTGGGGAGGCTGTTGTTGAAGCCCGGGTGTGGGAAGGACTCGGTGGCGATCCGGATCTGCTCACAGCCTTCCCACCGCTGGAGGTTGTGCTCCCCCAGGTGCACTATGTAGCGGCTGAGGTGGGAGAGATGGTGATCAGAGGAGGAAGGTGGGAGAGGTGCATGACGCCTCGGACGAAGGAACCTGGCTCTATTTCCAACCTCATCTCCATCTCCTACCAAAGGCCTCTCCCAGGCCGTGTGCCTATCCCCCACGAGGCATCCAGCTCCATTCCCGACATCTTCCCAGTTCAAACATCCTCTGCTCCTCCCTCCACCTGCATCTCAGCTCGGGTGCCATCGTCCATCCCTCTTGCTCTCCACCGTACATACATATCCGCCCCTTCCCCAAGTCCCTTTCCTTCCCAGCCTCCATACCACCCCCTCCCAGCCCCGCCCCAGCCCCCGCACCCACGGCTTGCGGCAGTGGGCTGCGGTCAGGAGCCAGCTGGGGGCGATGAGGGTCGCCCCGCAGAGCAGCCGAGACTTCTGGAACAGGGCGGCCTGCCAGGGCTGGGAGTGTGGCTGGCACTCGTACCCCTTGATGATCCTGGTCTCTCCTCCTACTTGCCCTACACGGGGTGGGTCAAAGGAAGGGGCTTAGGAACCAGAGGAGGTAGGCGGGCCAGGGGACTCCCACAAATGAGGGTTGGGGGGATTGGGCCCTGGACCTGGAGTTTTGCCAGGACATACTGAGTGGATGGAAACAGGTCCATACTGGCTGCTCAGTTAACTGCTGTCCTGAGTTCTCCCACCCTCCCCTGGGACACCCTAGACCCCTCCCCCCATGTTATCACTTTGGATGCCATGTGGCCCTCCCCTGGGACACCCTAGACCCCCTCCCCCCATGTTGTCACTTCGGATGCCATGTAGGTGGTTCTATGTTTTGAATGGCAGTGCTGCCCATGTCCAGACACAGGGAAGCCCCTGTCATTCCCCAACCCCCACCATACCTGTCACCAGCACAAACATGATTAATTGCAGAATCATCATGGCCTGGAGGGGGGAAGGGCAGGCCCCAGGTTCCTCTGGGAACAGGAAGGGACACAGGGGCCACATCACTTTAAGGGGAGGCTGTGGGCTGGCCCCAGGCCCTGTCGCTCACCCTCACCTGCTCTGACTGGGCAGCCACCTTCTTCTACCCCTGGCTGTTCCTCCAGAAAGAAACAAAGTTTGGGGAATCCCCTGGTTCTTATAGCACCCCAACCTCTAAACTTTTAAAATAAGTCTTGGATATGGAGCATGGCCTTGGAAGGGATTGATCACAGTCAGAGGCTCCCAGTGTGCCAGGGAGAGTGTGGAAGTTGGGGACAGGGCCTTTGACTCAGCAAACAATAAGCCGGCTTCCATTAAGTCAGCCCCCCGATCTCCTAGGCACATTTTGTAGAAGGTTTTCCTTCTTGCCCACCTGGGAGCTGGCCAAACCCCCAGCAACTTGGGGTAGAGGGGAGGGGAGCTGGGCCCCATTGGTAACAGCTCCATACTCATTGTTCCAGCAGCTGGGCATTTGAGGTCATCCAAGGGTGGAGTAGGAGTAGGGGGAGCCAGAACACAGCCCCCACCCCAACCCCCTCACTCCCACTGAACACCAACTCCTTTGAAGGACTGCCGGACAGAGCTGGGCGGGGCTGGCAGGGGGAGGGCCAGTGCCCTCAGCTGCCCTGGCTGGCGGGGGTGGGAGCAGAAGGCTGGCTCAGCGGCCCGCAGCTGGGGTCAGAAGTCACTGAGGTTGGGGGCAGCCAGTCAGAGGTGAGAGATGTAGAGAGAGAGAGAGAGACGGAGGACTTGTACCCAAGCAGAGGACAGAGCAGAAGGAGAAACCGGAGCCAAGGCAGAAGAGGACTGGCGGCTCCCAGAGGGCAGCCGCCTAGAGGGGGCCCTTCCCATCCCTCCTAGACTCACAGGCTCTGGGGCTGGGGTTCTGGGGGCCGGTGGCGCGGCGGTGACAGGCTAGGTTGGAGCAAGAGGCACCCGGCAGGCCAACAGGCAGGGGGGTGGCCCCGGGCGGGCCAGTATGGCGGGGCTCCAAGCCCTGCCTTATCGCCCTGGGGGCGGGGTGTGTGGGGGCCCTCCCTGCTGGCTGCCTGGGCCTCTGAGGCGCTGCCTGCCAGCCTGTGTCACCTGTCCAAGCTGTTCTTCTCTCCTCTCTTGCCTCTGCATCCATCTGTCTGTCTACAACCTTCCTTTCATGCCCCATCTCTCTGAATCTGTGTCTCTTATTATCTGTTATTCTCTTTCTATAATTCTCTGTGTGTGATTTTTCTCTTTCTGTTTCTGTCTTTCTGTGTCTGTCATCTCCTTTCTCTTTGTCTTTTTCCACTCCTGCTCTTCTGGCCCTCCCTGCATGCCCCCTTCCTAATGCCTTCTATCCTTGCTGGTCTCTCTGTGGCTGTCACAGTCTGTCCGTTTTGGTCTTTCAGTCTGTCTCCAAATTCTCTCTTTCCATCTAATCCCAGTCTCTGTTGTCCTCCTGTCCCCGCCCCACCCTCCCCACATCCCCAGCCTAGGTGGGCCCCGGTCTCCCCTGAGCCCCTCCCTTCTCCTTTCCAGCAGTGGAGCAGGGGCGGGACAGGAGGGTGGGGAAGCAGGTCAGGGCCTGTGGAGCTGAGGCCTGGAAAGGGAAAGGAGCTGGTGCCTGGTACCCGCCCCTAGGGCTCTTCTGGGGCCTCACTTCCCTGCTGACCCTTCTCTCCACCCCTGTTCCCTCCCCACATTCCAGACCATCCAAATCCAGCTGTGGCACTTACTCGCTGCTGTGTGACCTGGGCCAAATGACGTCCAGTCCCTCAGCCACCTCAACCGCCTCTTCTGCAAACCCTGAGCAGTATGGATCCCGCTTCGCCCAGCTTGTTTGTTTTGGGGCCTTTCTCTCCTCTCTCCTAACCAGATGTGGAGCAAGGCCAGGTATTGCCTAGTTTCTGACAGCAGCCAGCCCTGGCCTCAAACCCCTGTTCTTCCTCTTCCTACCACTATGACGTGGGACAAGTGACTCCACCCCTGTGAGGCTCAGTTTCTTCACCTGCGAGATCCAGGTGACAGCCCTACTTTTGGGGGTGGTGGTGGAATAAGGCCTCCAGGAGGGCTTGAAGGTTCCTACTACTCTTCTGACCTCCCTCCTCACTCCAGCTTTCCTTCAGTGCATCTGGGGAAATCTTCTCTTTCTACCTCTGGGGGACACAGTAAAACCAGAACCTAAGGGGTGGTGGGGACCACTGTAAGGCTTAGGCTGGGCCCTCTTGCTTTCCAAGAATGCACTCCACCTTGGACCATCACAAACATATTCGAGCAAAGCCACATCCCTCATTGAACAGATGCTTGGCTATGGGGGAATCACACTGCAGTTGGCTAGTGGAAAGCATAGTATGTTTTATAGACATTTACTTTAATGGTCAGGAATGTTGCTCTTGCAGTTTTCACTTGGTATTTTGGAGCTAACAATTTTTTTCCCTTCTCAAGTCCTTCAAGGATCCTTGAAAAGATTGTAAGTGCTGAGCACTGTTTTTTATCATACCAGAGGGAGAAAAATGACCCTTATTTTTACTGTTATAAATAACGTTTTCTACTCCATTCCTGTGTGACCCCTGAGGGAAAACCCTCACCCTCTCTGAGCTGTATTTTTCCACTTGTGAGATAGAGGAACCCGGTGAGCCCTTCCTCCAGTCTCAACCAGCACTAGGAGAGGACATCAAATAAACAAACACAGCCCCTCCTTCAGTTGTATTATATTTATTCCAGACAGTTGCTTGCTCCTCCTATTTCTGGCAGGGTTCTTAGAAGGGCTAGCAGGAGGATGGAGTTCCAAGAAGTTCCCCAGACCAACAAAAGTGGGAGCTGGAGTGGTGATGGAAGAGGTGTCGGTCCTCTGAGGGTCAGAGTGGCCCCCAAGTTGAGGGTTGGAGGTGGAGAGAGCAGTTCAGTTGTTCCTTATGACGCTCCGGATCCAGTCCACATAATTGCAAATTTTGGTGTAGACCCCTGGGATGCCTTCTTGTCCACAAGGTCCCACAGACCCCCAAGATACCAGACCCTGAAGGACTCCCCCACACACCAGGGGACCCCCAGAATCACCCTGGAAAAGAGAAGTACTGTTTGAATAAGGGAGAAATCCTGCTCCCATTTTCTTTTCCAATTTCCACAAACCCCACTCCTGGGCTTTGAGGACTGTGGCTCCCAGCCTGGTCATCAGAGAAAAGAGGACAGCCAACTTCCTGGAGGACAGTGGCAATGGCTAACCAATAGAGAAGAGCGCACTCTCCCTAAGGGCCAACCCCGGGGGAGGACGGGACTCCATATAAAGCAGAGGTCTCTCAGGGACAGCAGCTGAGCCTCTGACCAATGAGGGGAGAGAGTTCCATCACCAATGACCAATCCTGGGGGAAGAGGGCGGGACTCTATCAAGAGTAGTGAGTTCAGGGACAGTGGCTGGGGCCCTGGCCAGAAGGGTAGAACAGCCTTTTCTATGGAGCACCCAAAGGGGCAAAAGTGCAGAATCAGAGGGTGGGAGGGGGTCCCCAAGACCCCTGTCCTGACTCCATCCTCAAATCTCTCACTCTCAAGCTGAGGCAGCACCAGCTGGAGGCTGCTGTGGGAAAAGCTTAGAACTCCAGAACCCCAGTCAGGTCTTGCCCTCCCCATTCCTCTCTTGTCCTCCCACCCTATTCTCTCTGCCTGTCTTCCTCCATTCTCTGGTCCTTCCTACTATCCTCTCTCTCCTTCCCTCCCTCCCTGCCTTGTCTTGTGAGTCTCTCCATTGACTCCATCTCCCTGTCTCCCATCAATTACCCTCCTCCTTCAGTCTCTCCCCTCCTCCTCCCGGCCTGGATGACCTTGTGCCCCACCAGTGTGCTCACCTGGCAGGCATCCTCCCCTGCGACACCACCTGCACACACCATGTTGTCTGTGATTCTCCCGGGGTACACAGCACGGCAGGTGGCATCAGAGACAATGGGGAGGTCGAGGCACTGGAGCTTGTCTGGGAATGGGTCTGAGGATGGAAGATGGATGCTGTTGAGGTCCCCCAAACCTCCCCACTTTGAAGCCACATCCCTCCTCCCAGGGAAGCCCAAATCCAAGTCAATATTCCTGCCCCCAACCATCCTGCACTACTCCCTGTAATCCTAAACCTCTACCTTTCAGATTTACGATTCAATTTCATAGTGACTCATGGCCCCAGGTTATTGGTCCAGTCTCTTGATATTTGACTTTGGCATAACTCAACGCCATCCTTGTCCCTCTAACCAAAGATGCAATGAATCCAGACCTGACCTTCTCCTGCGGTCTTAGAACCTTATCCCAGCTTGACCTTAAGTCCTCTCTCTGTCTCCTGACCCCATGTCCTTGTCTACACCTCAACCCCCAGGCTCAGCTCTGTATCCTCTAAACCTTCACGTCATCAGTCCAACTCCCAAGTCTCCTCTGATCCTAGTTTATTGGACCCCAGAATCCATTACCCCAAACCTCTAGCCCCAAACCCTTTGACTTCTAATCTCAGATATGTGCTTTCTGAGTTCTGATAGAATTCCAGTTTCCATCCTCAGATTCTGACCAGATTGTGCAACATCTGGACCCCATGACCTCAGCTCTCCAGTGACCCCTAACCCCATCCAATGCCCAATGATCCTTGATATCCAGATCATATACAGCCTTTTGCTCCAGTATGATGACACCTGACACACTGGCCTCCAACAGTATCTCAGACCTCTGACCCCTGACTCCATACCCAATCCCTTAAACTCTTTGACCCCAAGACCCTGATCTACCACGATCTCTGATTCCAAGCCATAATCCTGATATTTGACCTCATACCCTGAGCCTTTGCCCATCCTTTCCTGCAGTTACAATTCCAGGCCCCTCATCCTATTTCCCAGGCTTTTATCCACCCTGACCCCTGACCCCTTACTCCACGGATGGTTGGTGGTACCCCAGCCTGAGATGTGGCACTCGGTGCCTGGGGTCACACAAGTACTGGGCAAGGGCAGGGTCTGGACACTGTTGGTCAAGCGGACGGGCAAGCCCAGGCGCAGAAGCCGGAGGTCGTGCTCGTGGTTCATCAGGGATCCCTGGTAGCTGGGATGGGTCACGGAGAAGCCACTGCGCCGGATCTGCTCCGTCCAGTCCAGCTGGCTGAGGCTGTGTTCCCCCAGGCGCACCCAGTACCTGCTGCAAGTGGCAGTGGCTCAGTGGTGGCAGGTGAGCAGCCCTCCTGCCTCTCTGTTCTCTCTGTCCTCTGAGTCTCTCTTCCAGGCACTATCTCTATTACCATCTTTTCATTTCTGCTGTTCACCTTGCTTTTCCTCGCATACCACTACCTCTGTGTCTCTTTCTGATTCTCTAGGATGCTGAGGCCCATAGGAGCAGGGACATCTGTGTGCCTTATTCACTGCTGTGCTCCCACCACCTGGCACGTGTCCTCAGTGTTGCTGACTGAGGGAATGAGTGCACAGTGCATGCTCTCTCTTTGTCCTGCTGCTGCCTCTCCCTGAGTCTCTCTGTTCCTTTGCATCTGAGCTTCCCTTGCATGAAAAATGCCAGGGCATCCATCCTGACAAGCCCAGTCTCTCATTGTACAAAGGGCACTGCTGAGGCCCACAGAGGTGCTAGGCATAGTCTCCGAGGCTGCACCAAAGGGTTGGGTCAGACAGAGGCGCCGTGCTCAGGCTGGGTGAGGGGATGGCTGGGGCTAGTGGCAGGTGTCATATAGGAAAGAAGGGGACATACAGGAAGGAAAGGGAAGGGAAAGTGGGCAGGTTCCAGGACCCTTTCTGGCCCTCCACCCACCACGTCTCACCACCCCCAGTCCCACTCAGGGCCAGTGTTGAGGAAGTTCTACTCCTTCTCTAGCCTCAGACTCTCTTGTTGCAGGACCAGGTTTTCAGTCCTTGACACTCCCTTCCCCTGTGAGCCTACTCCCAGCACTTGCCTTCCCATAATTGCTCCTTTGCCCACCCCAGGAAGGGACTCAGATTGAGGCTTACCTTCCGCTGCAGTGAGCAGCTGTGAGAACCCACCTACGGTCAATGAGGACACCCCCACAGCGCAGGCTGGTACCCTCAAACAGTCCCACCTGCCAAGGCTGGGAGTGGGGCAGACACTCGGTGCCATTCCAAATCTTCAACGTGCCCGCCTGGGTAAGCCCTGGGGACAGGAGCATGGGTCAGAGAGAGGAAGGGAGACACAGAGATGGAGAGACACAAGGGCAGAGACACAAAAAGAGAGAGAAACAGGGAAGAGAGAGAGAGAGGAAGACTGACTCAGTCTTTCTGAAAAAGAGAGTGAAACACCAAAGAGACATGGAGAAAGATGCTGAAAGATGAGAAGAAAAAGAGAGACAGAAATCTGGGGTAAGACAGAAGAGGAGATAGATCAAAAGCTGTAGGAGAAGAAGGGGAGCAGCACCCTGAGAACATCGGGTAAATGAAGGCACAGAGTAAGCCTCTCTTCTCCCCAACCAGGCCGGGGGCCAGGCTGTGAGGAGGAGGTGAGGGCACCCAGCCCCCTCCTGCCCTCTCCCTGCCCCTGGAGAACTCACCAAGAACACCCAGGAGCAAAAAGATGCTGGTGCTCATGGCGGGCCACCTCCGAGGTCTGAGGGAAGAGGTGGGGAGTCTCAGGGATCACCCTTTCCCCGTGGCCCTTGCCTCTCTTCTCCTCCTCAAAGGTCACTGTGGGGATGGCTTGCTCGTCCCCTCTCTACCTGTACCTGCAGGTTCCCCCCCACCTTGGTGGCTGGCCGCCCCATCTCACCGGTCTCTTTGCTGGGTCCTCTATATGCTGTCACCGGTTCAGCCGGTCTCTCTCCCTCTGCTATCTCTCTGTCCACCTACCTACCTGCCTTTCCTTTTGTCTGCCAGTCAGCTCTCTCACTCTGTCTGGATCTTCAGCCACTTGTCATGTTGCCCAACCTGTCCCTTTCCTTCCCTCTGTCACCCCAGAGCAGCTACGGTCAAAGCTTTTAACTCTCTTCCTCCCAGCCTATCCAATTTCCCAGTTGGGGGAAGGGGATGAGGAAGTTGGGGTGGGGCATCCTCTAATTTGGCAGAAACTCTTCTCAGCTAATGACACATAATTGAGCTTTACAACCAAATGGAGAGAAAAAGGAGGAAGGGACCCAGGGTGGGAAGATCCAACCCCACTCCCTCTCTTCTTCCCAAACCCGCCAGCAGCCCCAGGACTGATGACTCAAGGTGACTGAAGAACTGGGTTTTAATCCCAACTCCAGTGACGAGGAGGGTGGGGACACCTTGGACACCTGGGCCCTGACCCTCCCTGTACAAGGGAGGGGTGGAGAGAGGGAGCAGCTGCAGAGGCAGGAGCTTGGACTTGGAGGTGAGGGGCAGGAGGACTGAGGGTGCAGAGAATCCCTGAAAGAGAACAGAATCCCTCATAGGAAGGAGCAGACTTTAAAATAGGTGGTTAAGGAGCGACAGGAGCTGGGTTCTGATTCTAACTGAGTTTTTTATATGCGCGATCAACCCTGAACACCAGGAAGGACACTCACCCTCACCTTGACTACTTCAAGAAGCACAGATCTTGTATATATATAAACACACACACACTGTATGTATAAAGTTTATTTATTTAATTCCATGGAAGTTTTTGTTTGCATAAGAGCTTCCATTGCTGGCCAGGCAGTGTGGCTCATGGTAGTAATCCTTGCATTCTGGGAGGACAAGGCAGGTAGAACCCTTTGAACTCAGGAGTTCGAGGCCAGCCTGAACAAGATCGAGACTCCCATCTCTACTAAAAATAGAAAAATTAGCTGGACATTGTGGTGGGTGCCTGTAGTCCTAGTTACTGGGAGGCTGAGGCAGGAACATCACTCAAACCCAGGAGTTTGAGGTTGCTGTGAGCTATGATGTCATAGCACTCTACCCAGGGTGACAGAGGGAGACCCTGTCTCAAAAAAGAAAAAGAGCTTCCATTGCTTAAATAAAACCCACAGAGAAGGGAAAAAAGAGAGACAGAGAATATCAGGGGATAAGAGAAGTCTGTACTGAGTTTTTGCTTCATTTAGAAGGGAAGGAGGGGAAAGAAGGAAAAAGGGAATGAAACTCAGGAAGGGAGATTGAGAAACAAGCCAAGAGAAAGGCAGTCAAAAAGAGAGAGAGAGAAGAAAGAGAAAGAAAACGAGAACAGGGGTCTCCCAACCCCACGCCCATCTTTTAGTCCTTCACTTCTTTGGATCTCAGGTCCCTGTACCTTTTCAGCATCACATAACTTTAGCTTTTGGCTGTATGCCTGTATAGGGCGCCGGCCACATACACCGGGGCTTGCAGGTTCGAACCTGGCCCAGGCCTGCTAAACAACAATGACAACAACAACAACAACAAAAGCCAGTCATTGTGGTGGGCACCTGTAGTTCCAGATACTTGGGAGGCTGAGGCAAGAGAATCGCTTAAGCCCAAGAGTTGAAGGTTGCTGAAAGCTGTAATGCCATGGCACTCTACTGAGGGTGGCATAGTGAGACTCTGACTCAAAAAAACCCTAAAACAACAAAACAAACCAAAACAACAGGCTCGGCACCCGTAGCTCAGCCACTAGGGGGCTAGCCACATACACTGGAGCTGGCAGATTCCAATCCAGCCCAGGCCTGCCAAAGAACAGTGACAATTACAACCAAAAAATTCTACACAGGGCAACAGCTTGAGAGTTTGTCTCAAAAAACAAACAAACAAACAATAAAAACCTTTAGCTTTTGATTTGCTCTCACAGACCACCTAACTTACTGCCTCTCTTTCTGTGGATTTTTGAGATATAATTCACATCCAATAAAATGGAATACAAAAATATAAGGCAGGGTCCCTGATTTTTAGGAGCATTTGTGCAAATTAAAAATTACCAGATATGTAGTTAATAATGTATTGTACACTTAAAAATTACAGACTAGATTTTTTTTTTTGAGACAGTCTCATAGCTTTGCGCAGTGGCAGTATCGTAGCCAATTAGGTTTATCTGAGGTGCGATTATTGCTAATTGAGACAGTCTCACTAGGTTGCCCTCTGTAGAGTGCTGTAGTGTCACAGCTCACACCAACCTCAAACTCTTGGGCTTAGGCGATCTCTTGCCTCAGCTTCCCGAGTAGCTGGGACTACAGGCACCCGTCATAATGTCCAGCTATTTTTTGGTTGCAGTTGTCATTGTTGTTTAGCTGGCCCAGGCCAGGCTTGAACCTGCCACCTTCAGTGTATGTGGCCGGCGCTTTACTCACTGAGCTATAAGCCTGAGAGGTAATGCTTGTGTCAGTGTGATTTAGCCATTCCACAATATATTCATTGTTTACAGCACTGTGCTGTACATCATAAATATATACAACTTGTATTTGTCAAGTTAAAACAAGTATTTTTTATTAAAAAGAAATGTACCCTTCGGCTTCGACTGGGAGCTGCCTTACTGGAATGTAAGACCGAGTGCTGCAGATCCTCCGACTTTTCAAGAGAAGCTGGAAATTCAGGTTTAGAGTGGGGTATTTCCTGATCTTAAAATATGGGAAAACAAAAGTGTAGAACTGTAGGCTGAATAGAGCAGATCACTCTCTCTGTCTCTCTCTTTGTCATCTTTCTTAGGGGGCTAATATTTACATAACATAAAATTCTACATCTTGACAAATTTATAATCTACAATTCAGTGACTTCCACCACATTCACCATGTTGTGCAACATCACCACTAATTCCAGAACATTTTCATCTCCTCCCAAAGAAACTCCGTGCCCATGATCAACCGATGATGAATAAAATGCGGTGCATCCATGCAGCGGAGTATTATTCAGGCATCAAAGGGGATGAAGTTCTGTCTGACACAGGCGCGATGTGGACAAACCTAGGAAACAAGTTGCTGAGTGAAAGAAGCCAGACCCGGAGGCCCGCATGCTATGGGACTCTCTTTATATGAAATGTCCAGAGTAGGCAGATTCACAGAGACAGAAAGCAGGTTCGTGGTTGCCAGGGGCCGCTGGGCAGGGGGAATAGTGGCTGCTCGGGGCTCTCTTTGACCCTCAGGCTGCCAGTTTGTGGCTTCTGGCTAAAGACAAATGCCTTTTGCTGCAGCCAGCCACATAGCCCCCTCTTTTTGGATGACGCCCTGGGAACCTCTTGCCAGGACCCGCAGATACTGGCCCCCAGATCTGGAGCCCCCAGATTTCTCCAGCCTCTGAGCTTCACGTCTCTCTTCTTGGCAACCATCAGAAATCTATTCTTGAGTCTAGAGAGAAATCAGCCACTCCAACCCTGTCTAGAACATGGAGACCTTGTAGATACAGAAACAGGTATGACTAAGTGAAATCATTTGCCCAAAGTAGAAGAACACAC